CAGACTCTTCGCCACGTCAGCTGAATCTCGTGTGCACCGGGGTCAAGGTGTGTGGCGTCGGTGTCAGATTAATGCAGTCAGCGCTGGCTCAGCACCAGTCTGAGCCGGACTGCCCCAGCTACCGCTTGAGTGGTGCGCATGGGGTCAGACTATCTGCCCGTGCCACCAGAGGTCTTAGGCCGCATGAATGACGACGACTGCGTCTTTCAGACATTCAGGAGTGTGTCGTGAAGTGAATCACGTACTGCATCCGAGCGTGGGCGAGCCCTTCAGCTGCCTGCATACTAGCCTGAGCTCAAACTGGGCCACCCACGGCGAAAAAATAGGACCATGCTTTAGGGCCTCGAATGACCCACTCATCCCATGGTCCTTTCTAAGTGAAAGATCGTGTAGCACGAAACTGGATCGGCCCCGGCCGTGGTGACAAAAACAGCAGCCGTCCCGCGCGCCAGCACCTATCTGGGCCATCGGCTGGTAGCGCCGGTGGGTCGACACCGAAGACCCCCATGAGAGTGCGCCAGCTGGGGCTCTGCCTGCGCGGTACGCCGGCTGGAACCCTTCCCTGCCCGTCGGAAATGCCCAGGTAATGAATGAACTGATAACAGGCTTAGGGAGCGGCGCGGCGGCTCCAGGGCTATCTCTCGATCGCTGTCTCGGCGGACGTGCGGACCGGTCTCGTCGTGAGGCGTTTTGTCTGTCAGACGAGTCTGCAGACGCCGGCTGCAAACCGAGAGGTAAGTGGGAATCTACAAATGCTGTATGAGATCTGCCAAATGGGACCCCGACGTTACGCGCACTGTCTTGCGCTTGAAGGAGTAACTGGTACTTCCGGTGAATGAGACGTTTTCAGGAGAAGTACGGTTATTGGAATATAGAGAAGCATGGCAAAGGCCATTCCAGGGCGCCAAAGAAGTGAGGATTCCAAGCAGGTGAACAGAAAATTGCGGATTCTCTATAGGCATGCACCGTGTGCCTATAAGAGATGCTTCTCGGTATCTACGTGCAATAGTTTTCACACAAGTACGGCGGCAAAGGCGCGTCCAGGGTTAACAAAAGGGGATTCAGAGCAACATACGGCACAAGTCTATGCCACCCCCACCATGCTATGAGTGAATAATGAGGGAAAATGTACGCACATGTGAAGATGAGGTAAAAAATACAGGTTTTTGCGCTAAAGCGCCTCCGGAATGGGAGCAGGGAGCTTTCTCATGTGGAACAAGAAGACCTGGAACAGAAAACTGCGCTCCGTTCTCCGCGTTTCTGTGCGATGATCAGCATCTTAAAAACTAGGTCGGAGGTGACACCAGAAGCGACATGAGGAGCGCTACACGACATGGAGACCGTGACCGCCAACGGCGGGCCGCCAGCTGACTGCCGCGGCGATGGAACGCGCCACAGTCAAAACGAGTCATAGCGCAACACAAATCTACTGTGAAATATAGATTCAAGCGACAGGTAAATAAAAACGCGAGCACCAAAATAGAAAAATTCCTCCATGTTTGTAGCCTTCTCTCGGGGCTAAGAAACGTCAGGTAAGGACCTGGTTTGAGCGAGGTCTTTCGGTTTAGCCCTTTTTGTTTTGAGCTACCCTTAGAAACACCGTGTAGTTCATGCTAGGACGTTATAGCCTTTGCAACCGACATTTCCGTGATGTTCGTGCAATGTCCTGACGTCCGTGGTAAGAAATTTTATCACTGAATACACAGTACGTGACATCGTGACCGTCCGGCTTAACAGGCTGTTTTTCAAGGAACCCTTAGCTCAGGACAGCCTATCTGGTATTACGATTTGATAGCTCGCGTGCTTTATTATTTTGACATCTTTTTGGTGGCCATGTCCGGACAGACTGAGAATACTCTCGATCCACGTCTTTTAGCATTTAAAGGAAGTTTTGCTAAGCTTGGTCCTCTCCTGATCATGACCACAACTTGAAGCGTACAGTAATGACAAAATAACAAGTCTTCGCTCACAAACGTTAGTTAATCGATACCTCCTGGTATATTTAAGTCCGACCATTGTCAGCATAAGAACTTGAGGTGATATGGTATGTGATTCTGAGGTGTAATGGTTATATTATGCACGTAACAAGCGCCCGAACAACCTGTCTAAATTTAGCTTGTTCTTTTCGTATGCCATATAATTACCTCAGCTGCGGCTATATCGCACCAGGGGCGTTTTTTGTCCTTTTCTGATAGATGAGCAAAACAGATCACATTCTGGCAGCATACAGCATACCAAAACCCCATTTTTACACTTTTGCCATCAACCAGTTTGCATCTTCTGGGTTCAGCCACGAATTCTCACTTTTGAAACATCACCATCATGCATTTGTCTGAAAAATATTCATTAAATGCGTTAGTTCCCTTGAAATCTGTTAACTAACGATGGTGAAAACTATTCAGAAATTCTTGGCATTGCTCTGCCCCAGAAATGAAGGTTTGATCGGTTTAAACCATACGCCGCTCAGTCTTTCATAACAGACCAAGTAGTTCCTGAGATCGCAGAGGGAGAGTAAAGGGCGCCCTTCGTGCGTCTTGCCCGAAACAGGATGAACGGGGAGTGCCCACAACAGGTCAGCTACATCGTGTCTGAAAACTGAGGGTCCAACACAGACTGCTGGTAAAATACCAGATGTTGACATTGGCGGCCGTAAATGTACCGAAGGTATCAGGTCGTCGAGTATCTCCGTCCCAGTGCTGGGTCGTGGGGTGTCTCCGTCCCAGTACTGGGCTGTGGGGTGTCGCGGTTCCAGCGTTAGGCCGTGGGGTGTCGCCGTCCCAGTATTGGACTGTGGGGTGTCTCCGTCCCAGTATTGGGCTGTGGAGTGTCCCGGTTCCAGTGTTAGGCCGTGGGATGTCTCCGTCCCAGTGTTGGGCGTGGGGTGTCTCCGTTCCAGTGTTGGGCCGTGGGGTGTCCCGGTTCCAGTGTTAGGCCGTGGGATGTCTCCGTCCCACTGTTGGGCGTGGGGTGTCCCGGTTCCAGTGTTAGGCCGTGGGATGTCTCCGTCCCACTGCTGGGCGTGGGGTGTCCCGGTTCCAGTGTTAGGCCGTGGGATGTCTCCGTCCCACTGTTGGGCGTGGAGTGTCCCGGTTCCAGTGTTAGGCCGTGGGATGTCTCCGTCCCACTGTTGGGCGTGGGGTGTCCCGGTTCCAGCGTTAGGCCGTGGGGTGTCGCCGTCCCAGTATTGGACTGTGGGGTGTCTCCGTCCCAGTATTGGGCTGTGGGGTGTCCCGGTTCCAGTGTTAGGTCGTGGGATGTCTCCGTCCCAGTGTTGGGCTGTGGAGTGTCCCGGTTCCAGTGTTAGGCCGTGGGATGTCTCCGTCCCAGTGTTGGGCCGTGGGGTATCCCGGTTCCAGTGTTAGGCCGTGGGATGTCTCCGTCCCAGTGTTGGGCTGTGGGGTGTCCCGGTTCCAGTGTTAGGCTGTGGGATGTCTTCGTCCCACTGTTGGGCGTGGGGTGTCTCCGTTCCAGTGTTGGGCCGTGGAGCGTCCCGGATCCGGTGTCGGCATGTGGAGTGGCGTGGCCCCAGTGTCAGATCGTGACACGGCTCGGTCCCGACATCAGACAGTCCCGGTCGGCCGCGTCACGGAGCCAGGTGGCGGACCGTGCAGCGGAGGGGCGTGCTCGCCTCGGGTCACGACTAGCCGTCTCGCGGCCCAGCCGACCAGCCGATGCACGAGCCCATTGTGCAAGGCTCAGGAGAGACAGGCTGGGAGACACACACACACACACACACACACACACACACGCACACACACACACACACACACACACACACACACACGCACACACACACACACACACACACACACACACACACACACACACACACACACACACACACACACACACACAACACACACACGCACACAACACACACACACACACACACCACACACACGCACACACCACACACCACACACACACACACACACACACACACACACACACGCACACACACACACACACACACACACACACACACACCACACACACACACCACACACAAGCACGCACACACACACACTCTCTTTCGCTCTCTCTCTCTCTCTCCCCTCTCTCTCTCTCTCTTTATCTCCTATGCTTCTGCTTAAACTGTGACCACCGGTAAAAAGTACTATCGCCTCCAGGATAGTTTCATAACGTTAATTTGAGTATCAACAGCAAATAGCGCAAAGCGTGAAGACCACAGAGTGATTCCTGCTTATCATCACTTCATAGACGCTAGCGTAGCGTCTTTTAAATACACTAACCGCACATCGGTAGCGAGGTCTCTTGTCATTGGAGTCCCCTTCATCCAGCAAAGCCATGAAGTTGTTACCGTTGTTGTCCTGCCAGTCTCCAAGACATTGGAACGTCATGTCTGTGAAGAACGGGCGGTAAATTTAATCGAACAAGACCCGCTTTTATCTAGTCATACCTTTCATGCATCATTCAAAATGATAAATCAAGTTATTTACGGCCATCAAGAAGATAGGCCCTATGTTCTGGCACCACAAAAACGGCGCACCATTAATCCCCGTCCTGCACAATTCAACAGCGATGAAACAAGCGTTATCCGCATAAAACACTGACGTGGAAACGGGCTCTTACTGAGGTCCTGTCTGAACGAGCAGTCACTGAAGCGGAGGTGGAGTCCGAAGCCGTACGGACAGTTCGAGATCTGGGAGCGCGAGCCCGGACACGCGGCCGCGCTGTCTGTGCCGTCGGCGATGTCGTACGAGAAGGAGAAGCGGCCGCTGATCGGGCAGTACACCTGGTGTACGTGCGGGTCGTGGGTCCGAGTCTTCACTTCTGGAGGAGCATACATGACGCGTCAGTGACATGCTGGCTGACATCCTGTTGAAAGTGAAAGAAAAACAAAGCAAATGACATATGCGGGGCGGAAAAGAGCAAGGCCGATGAGGGTAATCATGATAAGGAAGCACTGAGGTAGGAGGTGGGAGTGAGAGTGCCGGGGAGAGAGAAATCAAGATCAGGAAAGATTGTGGGAAAGAGAAGTAGGAAGAGGGAGAGTGAGGGGAGAGAAGGGGAAGGACTGGTAGAGATAGGGGAGAGAGGGATAACAAGAGGGAGCAAATAACACAGTGGTGGAAATAGGAAAGGAGAGAAACAAAAGAGAGGCTAAACAATCAATTTTTTGCTCTCTAACACACTGCTCCCTCCTGCTTTCTCTAGCTGCTCTGGGACCAACAGAACCGTGGGGTCGGACGTCACGCACTGGTCCGTTAGATTAAATTATGATACAGTGCACGGGCTTGCTTTATCTGCTGTGAGGCCCAACAGCTTCCACAGAACTTAAACAGGCAGGATTAGGTGAAAGTTGATGGCGCTGGATTACGTCCACGACACGGCGTTTTACTCTCACGTTCTGTGTCGATCTATCGATTACGATCGCATCCGAGGTGGTACCGTGCCGAAGTGGCCGTGTTCTTGCCAGGATTTAGCTGATCACATGAGGCTGTTCCCATGCGCCTGGAGACACGTCGCAGTCGAATCCGGCGCGGCCACCGGACTGACAAAGACGGCACCGACAGGGCGGCGTCCTGACACACCATCTGGGGCTCGACATCTGGGCTCGACATCTGGGCTCGACATCTGGGTTCGACATCTGGGGTCGAAATCTGGGGCTCGACATCTGGGCTCGACATCTGGGCTCGACACCTGGGACTCGACATCTGGGGCTCGACATCTGGGCTCGACATCTCGGGCTCGACATCTGGGCTCGACATCTGGGCTCGACATCTGGGGCGGAGGTGACCAGCTCGACGCTGAGCCGACATTTCTGCCTCGATAAGCAGCTAAAACTAGTCAGGAACGGTGCCGTGAATGCCACCTCAGAACTAGGGCGTCGGTGGTGTAGCGGTTAAGCTGCACGTCTGAGAGGCCAGAGGTACGGAGTTCGATTCCCCTCGGTGCCCCCCCCCCCCTTCCCTACCAGGGTGATATGCAAATGGTGTCATACAGCTCCAACAGCTGATTTCTTCGTAGCGTCCGAATGACACTAACAACGCCGATCTCTGTGCCATGATATTACGCAAAAAAGGAAAGCATTACAGTGTGCCCATCCCAGTGCCCTCCAAACTAGCATAAAGCATCAAGCTCGCCATATGGCGGACCACAACATGCTCGTCATACTGAATACTTGAAGGTAAAGGCTTGATATGGAGCGCCCGTCTTAGTTAACCGAGAGAAGTCAGAGTGAGCGTCTGTGAACGGAAATGAAGCTGGTCTTTTCACTAAAGCCCATCAGCCACAGCCGTATCTTCGATATCAACAAGCTTGTCTGCTCTATTTCCAAAAGAAAAGAATGTGGTGATATCAGATAACCTTCCTTGACCTCTGACAGGATGGTGTTGTCACAGGAACCACCAGTGAACAGTCCACACCAGAGCTGCGCAGTAATCAGCGCGCATCGCTGTAGAGTGGCATACGATCGATGTTCGGATCATCCAGCAGCATACTTCGTCGCCCGTTTGGTGATGCGACCCGCGCTCACGGCCGTAGGAAGCCTATCGTTCAGGTAGCTTTGCCGCACCAGTGCTCCCGGCGGTCTCCATCTGTGAGTTCAGGGCCGCCTATGTATTTGTGTGCCCCAGCCGGGAGCGCGGGACGTGCACATTTGTGACCCGCTGGAAAGCTAGCGTCCACAGCTGTTTTTGGTCCACTGGGAGGGTGACCTAGGCTACACAATGATGTTTTAGTAACTCACTAACTACCTCCGTGGTCACATTGCCAGACACTCGATTCCGAAACGGTATTCAACGGCTGCGCGTTTGCAGCAGCGGTATGGGCTACATTCCATAACCCGATGAGAGAATTTTGGAGAAGTTCAAAGACCGAACCAGGGTGCCATGACCTGGTGGTAGCTAGCCATGGAGCACTGCCGTCGCACCCATTGTCAAGCTGGTGTCATGGGGATGCGATGGTAGAACAATGGTGGTGGTTCAAATTAATTTCCCAAACGGGCTGATCCTGAAAGAGAAAAATGCTATCAGTTAATAGCTTTAGCTGGTCAGGATGTTTTCGTGTCGGACAGTGACTTGGCGGAATCCCACACCAGCACACGGTGCCTAAGTGACGCCGCCATCCCAGCTGCCAGTTAGGAGTTATTTCATAAAGGATATGGCATTGCTTAGCGCAGGCCAGGGAGACGTCTATCGCTTGGGTAGACCATCCCACCTATGCTATAATGATATTCCTCCCGTGAATTATCAGGCTCCAGACGTTGCTGAATAGTTGCTTCCCGGGTGGCAGACTCTGATAAGGCCAATAGTGGTGCTTAGTTCGAAACGGGCGCTGCTTACGTCAATAACTGGCGAAATGGTTTTGTAACGTAACGGCATGGAGCCGGACCGTATGCCACAAGAGCACTGCTCACCAGCGACCGCCTTCACGCTGAAGGACTCGCCAGCGGCCGCCCTCACGCGGAAGGACTCGCCAGCGGCCGCCCTCACGCTGGAAGACTCACCAGCGGCCGCCCTCACGCTGAAGGACTCACCAGCGCCCGCCCTCGCGCTGATGGATGCGGACGTCACCAGTGGCCACATCTGGCTCCAACTGCCAGCCAAATGCGATGCGATGCGACGCAACTAATTTGTTCTCTGTACAAAACGTCCCATTCAGTCAGAGAACGAAGAGCGTGTCTGTCTGAGTACCACACGTGACGTCACGCGACGCGCGGTCCCGTAACGCTGTGTCGTGACGTGTGTCGCCTCCCCACGACGCTACTGCAGTTAATGCCGAGCAATTACCTGCTCCCAGGAGTGTCCAGTGGCCTTGGCTGCCGGAGCGATCACCATCTGCTTGAGTGGTGTATTTTGCTTGAAGGTTGACATCGGTGCTAAAATGGCCAGACCATCTGATAGAGAAGCCCCGGGCGCGGCGACCCGCAAGAGTAACAGGGATTTGTGATTAGGCTTCCACGCCCCTTTGTTAAAACCTTAATGGACTCCAGTCACGGTCGGCAGTGCATGTGCAGGGTTTCAGATAAACTTTTTCAAACCACCCAAGATGAGATCAGCCACGACTGTTGGTGCCGAACAGCCAGCCTTCAATTGCAAGCTGGTAGTGAGTGGTCCGCTGTCTCGCGCACATGAAGCCGAAGTTGATACGGCATTGCTAGCGACCGCTAGCGACCATTGCTAGCGACCGTGAAACGATCGCTGATTTCGCATTAAGAAGCTGTTTGACGCATCACTCGAGGTTCCAGGTTTAATATGCAATATTGATTATGGGCTCAGTGTTTAATATGCTTATAAGATATGGCAATTCTTAGCAATATCGTTAAGGTAAAATATTGTTTGTACAAAATGAATAATGTATTCGTCGGTATCTGTGTATTCTAACATTTCAAAACCTTATCTCATCTTCGGGGAAATCTAAAGGGCAAATGTGATATATTGGGTTTTTGAATGACGAAAGGTGGACACAACTATCCTTCGAAGATTTTTTGGTATGGAGAAGACAATTATTCTTATGCTTGTTTGAATGCGTGTTAAGTGTCTCCATAATGGAATCACAACAAAGACACAGCCACACAATCATAAATACGGTGGCTACCGCCCTCCACCACATTCCTTAACAGTTCTGGTAGAGCCTTTTTGTTTGTTCACGGCTGGGGAGAATTCTTCTCTGAATATACTTTTTGAAATCTGAAGGCGTATCCTGTCATTGCATGCCCCAATTATATCAGTGTTGTCCGTCACTTATCGCGTTAATGTTGCGTCATGATCGTGTCGTATGTGCTTCAGAGGTACCCCGTCGTGTACGCGCATTGTCAGACGTCTTGGGGGTTCCGTGGTTACGCCAATGTAGTGTGTGGAACGAAGTTTGCGAGCTTTGAATGACGATAAGCAGTGATACATTCAAGAAAGGCACATCTGCTCCTGCTGACAAAATGTTTTGCGTGTATAATCATGCATGCCAACCAATGTTGATACCGAATACGGAAAATAACCTCGCAAAACTAGGTAGATCCAAAACATGCGATACAGTACAAGTACAAAATTTCACCATAACCGTACAGACGTCATATATTTTGTAGTTCCGTTGCAAGCGCAGTATTCGCCACTAATGGACCGGATGTGCGCAACTCAAATCCACTCAATTCACCACCGTACAGGTCAAATTTATCACGCTGAACCCATTCGTGTATGTTTTGGGTGAAACTTGCACTACATTTGTCACGACAACCGAGTTAAATTGTTCAAAAACTGCGCATTGAATGCCTGCCGCTGATTGGGTACTGCAGTCGTGACATCACATGTCGGTAAAAGCCGGCCGTAAGACTCGGCCAACATGTCCCATGCGTTTCGCCGTATTTGGAAACATTGAACACAGCTGATGCAGCAGAACGGCAAATTTGGCACCAAATCTCGTGCGTTGCTAACGCAGCGCCCTGCTGGTAAGACCGCAGTTTTAGCCTTATTTCTCGGAAAAACCAGGAGAATGAAGATATAGTTAGCTTGATATTTCGGCAGCATGTCTTTATCGAAGCAATAGCAGAAGTCCTGTTTTTGATAAAGGATGTTGCATCTTGTTGTCATCTTGTTGCAGCCTGTTTTTTCAATAAAGGCATGGTGTCGAAATATGAGCCTTACTATATCTCTATTCTCCTGTTTTTTTCTGAGCAATAAGGCTAATACTCTTGTCATGTTATGTGAATGATGCTCCTCGCTAACGCACTGAACAACTTACGCAATGTCCCGCTCTTTAAGTGCCGATAATCGGCAGAAGCTGCCCAAGATAAATGAATGAGATTCATTCGTCCCTTCCTGCATCACCTGGACCATGCTAAAAATGAGCGTCCGCGCGGTCTCCGCCTGGTTGAGAGGAAGGAAACCGTGCTGGGAGGGAAGGGGAGATGAGATGATTGTGGGAAAGATAACCGTCCAGCTGCTGGTGGCGGCACGCTCTACAATCTTAGCAGCCACCGGGACAGTGGATATAGGACGGTTTTCAGCTGAATTGGTATCGTCACCTACCTTGGGGAGAGCTCCGGGATATTGCTGGGACGCAGGGATATCGGAAATAAATCGACTCGAGGTGACCTGGCCGTGCAACATCGCGCCGGTGGCTTGGAAGCTGAGTAGAAGACGCAGAAAGACGATGTCCTTACCACAAGCCTAGGAGTTTTTGATGCTGACAATGGCATCTTGGTCTTTTCATGCATGACATCAATGACATCTTGGTCCGGGTAACGGTAGTAGTGTCATAGAGCAGGTATCGACACGTGTCAAACGACACGAGCTATGCAGCGGCGCGCCCTATGTGACCACTTGGGCGCACTGGCCCCCGAGTAACGCATAAACTCTTAAACTCACTGTACATCATGAGCTCGTGGATGCGGCTGCGGTTCATCCTCTGCGGCGAGCTCATCTCGTCGACGGTGGGACACAGTTTGAACGTGTCGTTGAGGTTGGTGGCGCAGCTGCTCTGCGGATCCCGCGTGTGAAGCTGCAGGACGTTGGCCGAGCGGATGGCCAGGTGGAAGCAGCGCAGACAGCCGTTACTCCTGCCGGGCAGACATGATGCGTACTGGAAATGATGCATGATGCATGGCGCGTCTGACAGGGACGTGTCAACGGGGTGTCTGATAAACCTTTTCCCCTTGTTCCTTTCGAACACGGTGCATGTCGTCGCGCACCCTTATATACAGTTCCAGCGAATCCGGCGGCCAAAGGAGCGCTCAGGAATCAACTGGGGGGGGGGGGGGGGGGGGGGGGTCGAACGCCCCCCCCCCCTTTTCCACGTGGGCGCCGAAGGCACTAACTATTCGGCCATCATGCCCCCTTGACATAGCTTGACAAGAGATAGCATAACTGGACGTTTTTCGCAGTCTGCATATTATGAGCACTGAGGCTTATGAAACGTTGAAATGAATGTAAACAAGCAAAACAATGGTGCCTGGAGACCCTACCCTGAAGGCTTTCAGATAGGATCGTCAAGAAAATAGCAGCTCTCATGTGTGATTATGATCTGACCCAGGATATTGCGGCCTATTCAGCATCTCTCGCCCGGATTATACCTCGCACCTCCCCAGTCGGCCGCTGGTCCCCGTCTCGTACGTCCCCAGTCGACCGCTAGTCCCTGTCTCGCACGTCCCCAGTCGACCGCTAGTCCCCCCGTCTCCCCCGTCCCCAGAAGAGCCACGATCAGCCCGGCGTGCGACGCACCCAATTAATCGGCACGATTAGGGCCCCGAACCAATGACAGACGGCCAGTCGGCCGGCCGGCCAGCCGGCGGCGGCGGTGGCGGCGGTGCCGCTCGCGTTCCCACGCGGCGCTGGCACGCAACCGGCCGCGTCACGCCTAATGAACGGAGAGCGACGCGGCGCGAGTCCTGGGTCAGCAGAGGCTGCTCCCGCCGGTGTGGCAGAGGTGTGGCTGGTGACCGGCGCTGTTCCACGGGCCACTCGCATTTGGCTGATAATTGTCGAACATGTGCCCCGCGCCGCTTTTGCCTCCTCCGATCAACCACGGTTGAAAACGAGGGCTTGTTTTTATTTTGTTTTTTTCTGGCAGTTACCCACGGACTTTGTAGCAGGTGCTTGATCATGATCCTCATAGGGCTTTTGTTGTATATTTTATAGGAAGGGGGACAAAAAACAGCGAGAGGCATCTGTCACCAAACACTTACAAGGTGTGTAGCAGGTGCTTGCGTGACACAAGCCTCCGCCCACGAGCAGAGGTCAGCTGCTTGGGTTGGGGCTCTACAGAAACTATGTACCACGGTTCGTTTGATGTTTGGCGTCTTTTCGTGCCTAAGCCAACTAGCTCATTCCATTTTCTGCTGAATTTGTACGCTTTTTCTTGAAAGCTCGCCTTGTCTTCTGTGTTGTCTCGCCAACTAACTGATCTGTCTCGACCGGAAGCGGTCTGTGGCCGTGGTGAGAACTGGACGTAAAACACATGAACTCTGAACAAAGACGACCGCCGTCGAGCAATTACCGTCCCATTGGGCCGGGGCTCCACGGACCAGGGCCTTTAAACACGGGCCGGCGGCGTGCGTGCCTCCCCAAGGGGCACCGGAAGTCCCTACCGGCGTCCGGGCGGCCCCAGCATACGCAGCCGGCAACATATGGTAGCACCATCCGTGTGAGAAATCCCTCAGCAGTGGAACCATTAGCAACCTGGCGACGAATCATTAGCGCTACCAAAATAGTTGGCTTTGAACTTAATGATATCTGATGGCGCAGGTGTTCGTAATGAAATAAAGCCGTCAACTGTACAACGAAAGGACACGGTTTCGCTGTCATTTGTACAGCAGTTTTCAGTGGGTCGTAAATGCCTACGGTACGCGGATCGACTTTATAAAGGATCCAATTCAGAGCCTACTTACGAGTCGCGAAGTATCAAGTTGTTTCCAATTCTCCTGTGACATACTCCATATGGCAAGATCTTGTTCATCTCTATCAGCACTTCTGAGTATTGATTTTGCGCCATTTGGACGGCATATGTTCCGTGATACTCAAACGGAAAGAAGCAATCACCCATTCCTGCAAAAGAGAGACAAAATGTCACTGTCTGCATGTCACATTGCACCTGTGATAACGAGCACCTTGCAATATCATGGCTGCAAAAAATGTTCGGACTGTTTTCCTCGTCTGGTGTTCGTATCTACACGTAATCATCATGTGTGTTAGTATGTACACGTACCCGTCTGGTGTGTCAGTATGTACATGTACTTACCTGATGTGTTAGTATGTACACGTACCCGTCTGGTGTGTTAGCATGTGCACGTACTCGTCTGGTGTGTTAGTATGTACTCGTACCCGTCTGGTGTGTTGGTATGTACACGAACTCATCTGATGTGTTAGTATGTACACGTACCCGTCTGGTGTGTTAGTATGTATACGTACTCATCTGATGTGTTAGTATGTACACGTAGCCGTCTGGTGTGTTAGTATGTATACGTACTCATCTGATGTGTTAGTATGTACATGTACTCGTCTGGTATGTTAGTATGTGCATGTACCCGTCTGGTGTGTTAGTATGTACACGAGCTCGTCTGGTATGTTGGTATGTACATGTACTCGTCTGGTATGTTAGTATGTGCATGTACCCGTCTGGTGTGTTAGTATGTACACGTACTCGTCTGATATGTCAGTATGCACACGTAATCGTCTGGTATGTTAGTATGCACACTTGCTCGTCTGGTGCGTTAGCATGTACACTTGATTGTCGGGTGTGCTAGTGCACATACTAACGCACCAAGTAAGGAAGATAGTCCAAACAATTATTGCATTCCTGGCATTAATATCTCATCTTAACTCTTCCGCAAATCTTAGCGAATACTTTGACTCATATCCTCTATATATAGTCACCCTCTATATTTTCCAAATTGGTAAATGCAGTGGCGTAAAATGTAACATTTTTGCGCACTCACTAAGATATTTGGCTCATGTGTAGGGCGCCAAAAATGCATAGGCTCGCTGTCAGCTTTACTACTGCTTGTAAAACGAATGCTTCAAGAAATTAGGGGATAACTCAGTTGTAAGCATACCCTAGAGGAAAAAAAAATATTCAAATGCACAAACAAATCAGTAGACGAGTATGCATTTCATGTCAGCTATTGGGACAACAAGGGCAAGCTAAGAACGTCCTGTGACATTGCTTGGCCTCTGGCTTGAAGAACAGAGTGTCGGACTACCACCAGGGAAGAGTAACCATTGGGATCGATAGCGTTGCCATTTTGATTTACCTTTCAAGCGGGGAACTGTCAAAGCGTCCAGACGCAGCAAACGACCGGAGAGCCCTCTTAGATCTCCGGGGTTCTTAATCACCCGCCATGCCGGTAACTAATGACCTCTCCGTCAGCTAATGACCGCAGCTGCCCTCCTGTGACGCGGCCGTCAGTCGTGGCGAAAGCGGCACGCGCACCCATGACGTCACATTCTCTTGTGCGAGGGGGGCGGCCTCTCTTGGGATGTTTCTCTGTCGAGGTGTGGATATTCTAACTGCATGCCAAAAGCTGCTAGAGCTCGATTGCATCGCAAAGGAGATGCGCGTGAAGGTCAGATTTAAAAGAGCTTGTCTCCATGACGACACGTTACCACGCCGTACTGTCGTTCTGATCTGAACTGGCTGCAGTCAGCGCGAGATGCTGTGAATCCGGTGTTGTTGAACGTTGGAAGACGATGTGGTATGTCACCTCCTCATGGCAGGCGTCTTTTTTCCAACACGAAAATAAATCACGCCTACGTGAGTTAACCATTTACCGCTCCTATGTCCGTCTGTGAGCTGGGACAGGCGAGAATAAGTTATACCAGCCCGCCGCGACTGCCTCTTTCCCATGCCTGTGCGGATGAGTTACGCGGGTGCATGGAAGACGGTTGAAAAGCATCGCATGCCCCTCAAGTGCTTTGAATCATCACTGAAGTTATGGCTAACCGCGATGGGTATGCTCGGTGCAAATGGTGCATCAAAACGTAGAGCTTTATTTGCTTGCTCCGCATGGCAAATGAGCTGGAGCAGGCCAGATGTTTCGAACTCACTTTTAAGCCGTGTCAAGTTTTACTGATCTGTCGCGCTGTCCACCTGTCCAAAATCTCGCAGCAATTCTGTGAAAAACAGCATCCAAAGAGAGAAATAAGAACTAGGACCGACTTAAAGCGTTCAAAAGCGTCGCCGTGTGTCGCGGGCCACGTGCCGGCGTGTTTCTGCCGTCCTCCCATTAGAGAGCGGGGGATGTTGACCCACGCTCCCGGGGCGAGACTGATGCGGTGTGGCAAAAGGGGAGCACGAGCTCGGGTAGAACCGACGGTTGGTCAGGAACTGCGGCCTCCGGACCAGAGTAGGCGCTGTGCGCGGTGCAGACACTGGCGTCAGGTGCCTTTTCACGGCTCACGTCTACGTTCTGTTTCCTGACGGCCGTCATCAGAATGAATCCCCCTTAAACTTACTTTGATCAAGCTAAAGATAGTAAGAAGTCCTTGCCCACGACAACTGGCCGCTTCTTCCACACGATCGCATCTTCCTGCGCAATTAATCAGTCCGGAAAATCACTGGTTTTGAAAAAAATATGTGGGAACAGATTTCACCACAGCCCGATTCTCCATCCAGACCAAGGCCCTATAGCGACAGGCTGGGCGGCAGGAATATACCAGAATATACTAGATTTCAAATTGGTACCGGCACAGCTAGTTTATATGCTGCTTTTTATGACTGATTATTGCAAAACTGCCATTCAAGCAAAAAAAATGGTAAACACGTAACGTCTGGCTAAACATTATAATCTGTTATAGGAATGATCTAGATAAGTATTCTTGATAGCCTGAACCTTTGACTAAATTTGGCAGTGTTGCAATTATAGTGCTCCGGCAACATAACAAAACTGCGCTGGTTCTGCTGGCCGCATGCAGGGCAGCACAGCCAGTTTACGCGGTTCGTCGCCTGGTAGTCCCGGTGAACATAACCGTAAGAATTATTGCAATGGCACTATCCTGACGTCCATGTAATCATCTTTCCTAGATTGTGTCCTAAAAAAGTCTACAAAGTAACGAGACATGTAAATTTTAGACTTCGCACCGCTGTTGCGTTCAAATTTATTATGGAAGATCCATCTTTGCCTATCCGGGTGTGTACATTTACAAACATCGTAATAAGAATGTGTATTTGCAATTTCATGTCAATAATACAATTTTAGACCTTATAAGGTGGAACATAGCATGTACGTCCAGCATCAAGCCATGTACTGGTTGTCTTCAGGTTGTTATCCACCATGTTTTGGTGTTTAAAATACAATCATTGGCATGCGATCAATCGTAATATTTCCTACTTCTTATAACAATGATAATAATGTGAACACATTATTACGAGCGCTGTACCAGTGGTCAGGGATGCCGAATGAGTTGGGGCCCTCAATTCATACTCAACTCACCCCACTCAGCCCCACCGAACTGAGTAGTGGGAAACGATGAAGACAGAAGACACACTACACCACTCAGAAGACACCAACAAACGGGTTTGTTTCCTCCCAGATTTGGCTCACTTTGTTCTCAAAGTCAGGTTGCCGGCTAAATATTTTGGGGGACTTGAGGCTCTGTCTGAAAAGGAAACTGCACCCCCGCCAAATGGCAATACGTGTTGGGGATGTCTTTATAGTGACTGGTGTCAAGTGTGACCCAGCACGCACATGATGAAGATGCTCTTATGTTTCTAGTACTGGTACAATTACAGAAATATATCTAAGCTGTGCCATTTGGGGCACAGGCAAAGATTGTCACAGGTTTTCCTTTACACAAGCAGCCACTCATGCTAACGGAATATAACTAGCTGCAAACATTTAGTTCTGCATATGCAGCTATTCTATATACAACTAATTCATATCGCCCCTGCTCGTAATATAAGCCTCTAGCACGACAATTTCTTGCTAGAATGACTTGCAGAAGCTCGGCTATCATTTTTTACCCGCAATTAAGTCTGCACGGGCGTAACCTCAATACTACGCATTTGGGACCATAACTGCACAGGCCCAAAATCGCAAACGACTTAAGGTTATGTATGGCTACAACGGTGCACAGAAGGAGCACTCCAGAAAATAGTATATGCACTCTTAACTTTCCTTTCAGATCGTCATGTTCATTCAGGTCAGATTTCAGATTGCAAAATCGAATTGTATCTGCCTTTCCAGCCCTTCCGCTCAGCAAAACCCCTCGTGCCTCTCTTGCTACGCGCTGGGGTCGGGGGTCAAATTGCCTCCCCTCCGAAGGGTTTTGCGGAATGGTTTCCGAGGGAGGGGGTGTGGGCGCACCTAATTTTTCATAGCTATAGACAATCAGAGGGCAGATCATCTGACATCAAAAATTTAGATGTACCTTGTAACGTTGCTATCCCATGGCAGGTCAAAGTCAGGTCATGGTATCAGAGAGGGCAATTTTTAGGGAATCGTTCAACCTGATCCAACAACGGAGTGTTAGACGAAGCCATATATTCCTGAGGTACTTTCTTAGACAGCACAAAAATTGAAAGAACAAATAACAGTGACCTTAAGTCACGCATAAAGGTCAGACTGAGGTCAAAAGCAGCCTGCATTATTACTGTAGGGTTTGCTGTATAGGGTAGTTTCTGGTGTTCATTTCGAATCTATTGATGACAGGAACCGCATTATACACCTTCTACAGACTTGTTAAGGATAATACCTGACCTAGAATGACCCGGGTCAGCATATTGTTTTTATGAACATACTGCCCATCGTAATCTATGTCGCTTATCCAAATGGAAAACGCCAAGCGGTTTTGTATGATTTTGGCCACCATAACCTTCAAAAGGTCAAACGAGTTCACTGATATTACATGAGCATGTGACCTTTTACTTGGAACAGTTATCTAGGTTCCAGGGGCTCTTTGGAGAACATCCTGAAATTTGACCTTATTTGGCCTTTTTTGGCCCGAAGGTCATAACCTAAGAACGTCAAGCTGTGGCCTAAGTGAGATTATGTACAGGTCAATAGACTCGGTAAATTTAGTTCTCTAGTTCTCTTAGTTCTTGAGATCTC